TAAAACGATATTATATACAAATGCAAATCTATGGTATCGTGAAGGCTGCTATGAAACTGTTAAAAATATAAACTCCTGAAACCAGGAACGCCACATGAGAGATCTCGTTGGATATACAAGACTACGCGTCCACAAAGTTGCCTACATAAGGTGTTTCGAAACTACCATTCTACCTAGAATGGACGGAGTGTGAGTGCTCAAAGTTTTTGATAAGGGTAGTGTCGACAAGTAAACGTAGATCAACTGTATATGTGATTCTAAAGTCCATCAAACAGCATCTTAAACAAATCAGACACGGCTGTGGAATCATTATTACTCCATAAATTTATGTTTTGAGGAGGGGGATTGCCTTACATTCTGGAAAGTTTTGCACGAAACCGACCTGACGCTGCTAGACAAATGAGGGAACCGCATAACCGTTTATCGTTATCACAAACCTTATCCTTAGGGTTCGACTTTGACATAAAGTAAGTTGAATTGCGATAACTGGTGAGATAAAACAGAGATACAATACACAATGGAAACGAAGTTCTGTGGAGGCCATGTTTTAGTATCTGTTGGGCCAGAAAAAAAATACTCTGATGTAAGCACTTTACAAAATTGTGCACTTTCTGTAACCGAAGACGCATTAGCAATTCATGTTATAGGTTCGTGGGGAAACAAAAATTATTCTTCATCCAGCTACAAAGAAGTGAAATGTGAGATGAACGACACCTACTTCAGTCAGTGCAATTATGAGTTCACGGAAGAGTGAACGATCTGTGAAATTGTGCAGTGGGCCTGAATGCAGGAAAAGTGTTGTGTTGTGGTTTAAATGCAGTTAAAAACTAAAGACGTTAAAAAGTGTACCATACGATAGTAAGTACAGGAGGTTCGCTACACTTAACTTTAAAACACGTGAATTAAGTCTAAAGAGAATAATTCATCTCGAACCAGAAGTGAATGAACGACCAATAGAAAATGCAACACCCAAATGACACTGATTTAGTACTCATTAAATGAAACGGGGCACATTTTTGGAGAGAATATACTTCGAATTGTTTTCAGAAAAGAAGCAGAAATATTTTATTTTATGGCTAGACGTGTAAATTTAGCAAGGTTGAGTACAGTTTAGCAAGTTCGCGTAACTGAACCTATACACTTTAAATGCGACGGTGACGATATGATTTCACTTAATATCACATAATAGATATTAACCCATTTTCCAAGGAACTGTGTTTCGTAAATTGTACTCCCTTGGACAAAAAAGAAGTGTTGCAGCAAAGGTGATTTGGCTATCTACAACATAATCTATCCGGACTGTTTCAAGATATTTTCGCTGGAGTGTGTTACAAGAACTGGCTGTAAATAACAAGAGGATCATGTCATACATTATTTTAGCTCTTTTCCTTTCTATTTTTCAAGTGACAGCAAAATGTCCTAATCACGGCAATTGTTCTTCAGAAGAAAGAGTAGAGAGCCCTGATACTTCACTTACAACGTT